TATTTTGTCTCAGATGCTGCATTTTGTCTTAGGTGGCTCATTCCTGCTGAAGCTCTTATATATATTTCTTTCCTGACTCATGAATTTTTTCTATGTCAAAGACAATCAGCGATATAATTATTCAATAGCTTTGCAATAATAAGAATTCAATTAACTTTGAAACTTTCATTTTTTTCAACAGAGAGATGGCTGTCCAAAAATTGTCAACTTAGGAAGCTCCAAAACAGATTTATTCTACGAAAGAAAGAAATATGGATTTAAAAAGCGATAGTCTCTTAGATTAAAAAAAAAACGTAGCAACAATAAGATTGCAGCAGCTACATCTGTGTATTATCTATCGAACTGTTGAATCAAGCTGCAGAACCAATATTCCATTCACTGTGTCAAGTCATTGGATAATGGCCATCACACTCCAATGCTCCATCATCTTTTCTGGCACTCTCTGGAACAATATTTAATATGTTATATTTTTGTGAAAAAAATCTCAAAACTACAGAAAAATTCAATTCCATTTGATAAGGAAAAGTCTATAGATCCCTTGCATGACCTTGCAGCTCATAAGAATGCAGCTACATCTGGAGGACAAATACATCAGTTTATTGTAGTTCCCTAGAGAGAAAAGATTTTTTTGGTGTCCTCCAGAGGAAGCTTCTTCAATGTCGAATACAAGGAGTGTATAAATATTTCTGTCACTTATTCTTGTTGTGCAATCCACATCATGAATAATTGCAAAAAAATAAACTTTTATGGAAACTGTGTTTGTGTGCAGGATTACTATATAAATCTAGATAATACACACTTTTTGATTTTAAGAGTGTCTTTACTAGTTCTTTTTCTTGAAAATAAAATATAATCTTTCTCTCAAACACAGAAAAAATGATGGAATTGTTGCATATATGAAAGTGCACCACTAGTCAGTGACAAGCCTTATTTTGCTTGTTTTCCCTTAAATGTAATATAAGTAGGTCATTTTTAAAAAATGTGCTCTACTCTGATTTATCTTACAGTAAATAATTATTTGATGTTTCAAATGTTTTACAGTATTATAATTTTTCAAGACATTAGCAAGTTTCAAAAAATTTATCAAGTCTGAAAATTGTTTATGTTAATTTAATATGACCTCTTTAGAACTACAAAAGACAAACGTGCGCGTGCCTTAAGTATTTTCTCCACCGAAAAAAAATAGAAATATAATTAACTTATATGTGAAGAAAACATTGTGAGAGTGTCGACTGCTATATGAACCAGGTAAAGCCCTGCAGACTGTATCTTGCCAAGAAGAGAATACATTCTTGTAGAGATTATCAAGCATAAATCGAGTCTTCCGAAGGTTTTACGCAATAGTATTTCTACTTAATCCAAATTTGAATATATCGATTATTGATTGACATAAGAACGAAGATGAAAGGAAAATCCGCGACGATCGTCCCTATCCTCGCCGCCGGAAGTAAGGTTTGCACGTGACGTAGGACGTGCCAATCAAACTTGTCAGCAATATTTAGGTCTCGTAGGCAGCAGTGAGCCAGCCAGAGTTTTGCGGTTTAGTTGACCGCTCAAGGTTTCTACTTTACGCAAAATGAGGGCTTGAATGATAGAGTAATTACTCTGACGGTAAGAACTTTATGCGTGCTTCATTGCCAAAACAAGAATTCTAAATGTTGATCAGAAAATGGACGCCATCGCTGCTAACTTGAAGCCCATCTTCGACTCGTGCGACAAAAATGGCGATGGTTTCGTAAAGACGCAAGATCTCATACAATACTCCGGCTTAGGAGGCCAAGAAAACTCCAAAGAGGTAAAGTTCTGCATTGTTCAGCAAGTTTGTATAATATTTGAAGTGGCGGAGTTTTGTTTGCCAAGTTTTTACGTGTATGTTCGGTTGAAATGAATGGTGGAACCTTGTAAACAAACCTACCGTCCACACTCAAAAGTCGCCGTTTCGTTCTCATTATTCTCCGTTGCTATGAACACAGTTTTAGTTTGGGTAATTTAAACTAGGTTTACGAGAGGTTATCAGTGTTTAAACTCGTTAAACGAGAAATTTCACGGAATTTTCACGGTAAAACAAATAATTTGTAGGTGGAAAAGCATCCCAAATTCGATATAGTCTGATCTGCAAACTTACGTGTGAATATTATTTAGGACATCAAGACTTTACTGCATAAGTTAGATCCCGATGGCGTTGGACAGATTACCTTTGAAGACTTCTGTCGCCGATTCCACGATTCTTTAGGTAAACTTCAGCTTACTAAATATGTTTTGAGTAATATCAAAAATAAAACTCCTAAAATCGTCAATCTGGAGCATCTTTAGACGATATTAGCCCCAAAGAACGTTTATAGTATGAGTAAACTTGTAAGAAACTAAAGTTTAATCACATTTCTTCACGTTCACAGGGGTAAGCGGAGAACTTCAGAAAGAACCACATAAAAGATCATCTCAAGATTCTGATAATCTAGAAGATAGCTGTTTTGAGGTGAGACATTTTGTTAAGACTCACAAACACAGATAACTCACGATTTTAAAGACTTTAGCTTAATTGTTCAAGTCTGATAAATTTGTTGAAACATGTTTAAACTAAATCAAATTTATTGTCCTGTTTTTACAATGTCTTTCAACAAATTTAAATCGTACTAAGACTATCTTCTCTTCAACCAGTAACTTATTAAAATCAGTTACTTAACTTAAGTTAAATAACTTGTGTATTTTGCTTTTGGTTTCTGAAATTCTTGAGAAAACTATTTCAGCAGGTAGTTTCGTAAGGAAGTAAATAGAAACTTAAGATTCCTCCATCCATGCATGAAACAAGCTAGAGATTACATGAAATTCAGTTTGAGTGACTTTTGGAAGGGTTTCTCACAGGCGTCTACATAAAACAGCTGAACATATAAAATTTAGATTGCTGCATTATGCAATAATTAGCATTTCTACCTTGTTCTTTTGAGCAAATTAATCCAGTTATAGAATGCTTTGATAACTTTTTTCATCAAGGAGTCTGGAAAAAAAGTAACAGAAGAGAAAAGATACAGAATGTAATTTAAAACTGATGAAGCAGAGCAGGTTGTTTCATTTAATGCTTGACGTTATGCCCAAAAACTGATTGATTGTACAAAAAGTGTGTGCAATTTATGAGAAGATTAATTTGAATTCATTTGACCATGGCAATATTTATTAATTGCTCCTCTGTTTTAGTTTTTGTGGTCTTTTCTTTTTTTATATTGTTATTTTAGTTATCTAGCTTATACACCCTTTTATGAAATAACAATGCTTTCATTTTCCATGCCATGACTCAGACAAAGTCCATTGAACCATATATTCTCATAGCTTTAGTATCATTTGAAGAATGAGGTCCAATATAATATCAGAATGACGCCCATTACATAACTGCTTTTTAAGATACATTATACGTCATGCAATGATGTCATGATAACTCCTCTTCTTTTAAACTTAAAAACAACTCATCTCTATAAACTTCACACTAGACCAAAAATATTGTATGAAAAGACTTCAACTCATTGCCTTTCATAAATAAAAATATCATTCCTAGCTGAAAATTATGAGATTATACAAAGCTTCAAAGTATTCATCATTATACTATCACTTGCAAGCTCAAGACAGCATTTTGTCTAGTTCTTATAGTCCATTAGGTAAAAGCCTACAGCTGCATAGAAATTTCGTTTTCAAAGCATTCAAGTTAGGAGATTTAGTATTAGTGTGTAAAAACTTCAATTTTCCATGATTTGGTGTGATTTTTCTCAATTTATTGCTTCTTGTGGCATCATTGGCTTCATAACATCTGTACTTATACTGCATTCATTTAAAATCATTTGGAAACATAATCTGTATGCATGCATATTAATCTAATGATAGTGATTCRCAATATTATTATTTGTAGGGTGATAGTACATATAGTACCACATCAACCAATGAATACAATGCTGACGATGACGAGACATTTCAAGAAGATGATCCACTTAACTCAAGCTTCAGGCGAAATTTAAARCAATATTCAACATACCCACCTCCTACGGAACCTAGAACMAAGCATCGCACRCCACTACCACGCCTTTATCTGGATAATTCTCACTCAGATACSAGTGAGTATCAAAGTGAAGAAGGTTATGAAGGATTTGGGGAACGGTTGGTTAGCGAGGAGACACTGCAAGAAACACAAAGTGTCAAAGAACCTATTCTACCACAGGACAGATTCCATCTTCACAAATCATATAGCAGGTACGTGAGCAGTGCTCAAAACCCATGATGACAAATTCTTATACAATGCCATAATTTATTGCTGACAATCTATTTTATTCTTTTTATAGTAACAGCCTACCTTTCAGGAGACGAATATCAGCAAACTCCGCAGCTCTACTTTCCAGGTAATGAGAGTTTGAAAGAAAACGTAAAGGTCATAATATAACCCTTCTTATCACAAAGTTTCAACTGATCAACAACTTCATTTAAATTCTATTTAAATGAAAAACAACCTTTTGTATGTGAAAATTACAAATTTTTTCAAAATTGATTTGAATTGCAAACAGTTAATATTCGTGTGAATTCCCCTGGGGGTAACTAAATCTTGTGTCTATCCAAGAGTCAAACTGAGGTCAGTGAACCCGGAAACCAATTGTCTAACCACCTCACCAGCATGTGATTCTTTCAAAGACTATGGTTAGCCATAGGTGACAAAGATGGGAAATGTTTTGCTTCACTGGACAGAATGATAAAGGCATTTAATAATTTTAGAAAAATCAGCAAATCTATATATGAATAAATATCAATAGTTCATTACTTTAAAAATGGTCACAACTAATTATTTTTCTAATCTAATGCCTTAAGAAGTATTCCGAAATTATTATTATAATTATTTTTCATTGTTTTTTTCTTGTCTGCTACACGTACATAATTATAGCTGTAAAAAATTTTGTTTCGAAACTTTCATAATGTGAGGATTTAAAAAGCTAGAATAACTATTGACTTAAGACTTGATTGGCACTTTCAAAGTAATGCCACCATGGAATTATAGTATTTTGAATTGAGGTTATATTTTTAAGGTCATGTTACTGTAATTGTATAACTTGATATCTTATTTCCACATACCATTAAGACATYTTAAGAGTTRCTTTGAGTCATGCGATGTTAACTACCTAGACACAGCTAAAGAATTCATAGGATTTCTTCCCAAATTACTTTTATCTTGTCGTTTGTGATGCACTCTTTATGTGGGGTAAAGTACATAGATGTAGTAAAACAATTTTAAGAGGTTCATGTGTTGTTAAGTAACATTTAGCAGAATTAGTCAATGGARAGMTTTTCATCRTAGCAGAATTAATCAATGGAGAGCTTTTCATCGATTGTGATTGWTTGGACATGAATCCTTTGAGTCTAAGCCATTGTAATCTATGGAGTTTTTGAAATTACATTAAGTCTTGCATTTGCCACCTGTATATGACCAATCTAGTAGGTTTAAATGCATGATGTCTTTGTTATTGCTTCCTTTAAAACAGTACCAATGCTGTTTTATTGATTAATAAGACACTATATTACTTAAAAACAACTGTTTGGGCATTGCAGCTGATGCAAATGATAATAATAACAAGTGGAAATATTATTAATATTAACAAAACACTGTTTTCCTTTTCAGTCCAAGATTGTTTCAATCACTTTCAGCCAACACAAGCCGTCGTAATAGCATGGATGATCTCTGCGGTGCTAGTGATTGCAGTGGGCCGCTGTCTGACCCCGAGGCAGGCATGCAATCCACTTTTTTATTTAGTGAAGTAAGTCATTCTAGAAATGCTGTCACTGCTGTGATCACAATCTCTGTCTAGATACCATATGTGAGATTGTAGGCTGTGGACCCCAGGACTGGTTATTACTTCCATCATTCAACCAATATTTTTATTTCTGTCAAAAACTAGCTAAGTGAAGAAAGCTGTGTACTGAATTAAATAAGCAATATAATGTTGATGAGCAGTGTGGTGATGTCTGGGGGGGGCTGGAAGATAGAGGAGTCAATGAATATTAATATTTCGTAATGAATTTATTCAGAAATAATTTTATTAGTATTAAGTGAATGAATGTGATTTTATTTTAGATCCAAAGACTCTCTTCTCAAGTGTCTCTTTTAGTAGAAGATCAAAAGTTACAGACATCAAAACAATATAGGATTAAAGAAGATAATAGTGAACTTTCTATGAGGTAAGCTACGTATTTTATTTCATGCTTCGATTTTTCACCTGCAAAATGCATCATTAACCAGTACAGAGCATTAAATGTCAGAAAAACATATTTTTTTACTAGTCAAAACAACAATGAAAAAGTTACCATCAAACGTTTGGATGAAGAATTGGGAGTTAAATTGAAAGTTCAGCTCATGGAAATGTCGATTCCAAATAGTGTAATTTTAGAAACTTGAGCAAAATGATAAATAGAGGATATTGCATGACAGGGCTTGAGATACAGATCTTTGAGTGTTGAAAAGATCTCACATGATGAGTGAGCAAATACTTTTTAGTATTTCAAAACCTGTGTTTTTATTTGAAAATTTGAATGTCTTAACAGTAACAGAAGCTATAAATAGATTTGACAAGTGATGTCATAACTACGATAATATATTCATAAATTAATATTCTAGCTGCAGGTACTCTTGCTTAGTCATGTTTATTTTCAAGTTCAAAACATTAGTCTTTTTGTTGCACACTGTCATTTTCTTATTCCATTGTTAGATTACAAGTTATTTTTAGTGGTAATAATCCAAGACCACCAATTGAAAGAGAATGATGTTGTTTTTTTTTTCAAATCTGTTGTTCTGTTAGTGACAATGAATTAAATATTCAAGTTTTCATTCAGACAACATCTGTCCTACAACGTCATTAGCATATTTTTTGTCTTTATTTGTGTTAAGAAGATTTTCAAGGTGAATTACTTAAATCTAACTGAGCCATGTATCAAAAACATGCCTAAAAACTCAAATTTATTCATTTCCTAAGGTAAGAACACTACACTTAAAGTATTATTAGCACAAGAAGGTACTATGGTTTTTGCATGATATTTTGCTGTCATCTGGATATACCGTGAAGATTTTACAATAGTCTAACAACAAAACAAAAAGGATGTTTTTTCTCTTGGTTAATAATTCTTCTTCTTTGAAATAGAATTTTTTTCTTTCCTTTTATAAACGAAGTTTCTATAGTCCTTTTTGTTTGTTCTCCAATTCAAAGCATGAAATGAGAAGTCAAAAACTGCTCAAAATTTATTTGGTAATTCATAAATGACAAAATCATTGCTTTAAATGTATTTTTATCATATGCTTAAGACAAGTGAATGTTATTTATTTGATTTTATGGAACCATTTTCCTACTGTACAGTAATGTACATCACTATAACACAGTTACAAATATCTCAATATTTTTTGCAAGCATTTTATTTTAATTTAAATACTTGTCAAAATTAATATACCAGAAAATTATTGGATCTGCCAAAGTTCACAGCATTTATGAACTATAATCATAAGCTATGTTGGCCATTGGAATGATATAATGCTGTGAACTGTAGCCATATGACGATATTTGTGTACAAAATATATAATATTCATGTTTCATTGATTGTAGAATTAATGCCCTAGAAGATCAATTACACCACCATCATGAAAAAACTGGAGAAAAAGTTCTTCAGGAGAGTAGGAAATATAAATCAGCTTTGGTAAGCTTAAATACATATATTCAAATTATAATTTTTTTACAGCAATAAGAGAAAAATAATTAAATCCTTAAAAACCTTGGTATCTTACAGAATAAACTTGAAAAGGACAATGAGGAGACATTATCTGTTTTAACCCATAAGTAAGTAATTAATTGCATTACAATAATCAAATGATGCTATGACTATTTGTTGAATATCTTCCAATTTTTTGCAGGTTACGGCAAGCAGAGGAAGAAATTGTTAAATTAAAATCTGTTGAGCCAATGTTGCGTAAAGAGCTTGATGTTTGCTACCAGGTAACAATCCAGACAACATTAATCTTATAATAATAATTTTGTAGTGCCTCAATGGTTAGTATTTAGAGTCCTTGGCAATTTTCCTGGTGAACTAGCGAAGTTGTTGTGTGGGTCCTTTTGCATCCATCAAATTAATTATGATAAGATGAAACCTGGATTTACAGCCACACAATTTACAATGCATTTAGAAAGTGTCCTACCTTATTAATTGATACCTGATTTTCAGCTCACACAATACCACACATCAGTTGATGATTCTGCCTTGGTTTAATTTATTTGTTTGTTTCGTAGGAGAAGCAAGAGCTGTTAAAACACATTGAACAACTTGAGAAAGAGTTACAAAATGAAAAAGACTTGACTGATTCACTGAGGAAGAAACTTGAGACTCAGGCAGAAGCTGCGTTAGAAGAGAGGCAACGCCATGAAGAGGTCAGTGTCAAAGAAGAAATTGATGGTTTATGAAGTGTCAAATTCACACTCACTGGTTTGGTCAAAGACATTGATAATGTAGCTGTGCTGCTGCTGTCATATACCATATAGTATTCTTCATTTTCTATATACGTCATAGTGTCCATCTTGATTGAACAAAGGATTTCACATGAGATAAATTGTATATTCAACCAACATGGCCGCTGACCAGTCTCTTATCAATTTTGTATTTCATGGAAAAAACTAATTTAATATGTTAGTGTAGTTATGTTAATGGAAAAAAAATTATTCCAACTACTAAAATCAATTGCACATTTTATTCTAGGAGGAAAATTCCTTGAGTCAACAAGTGTTAGAATTGAGCAATTTTAAGTCGGAAGCTGAAGTCAAGTTAAAAGATACTGTTGACCTTGAGCAAAAATCTATTGAATTAGAAGAACGTGTACACCAACTTACCAGGGTAGGTATATACAT